ATCCTGGCTGCCACCGAGGGCCGCGTTAGCCACATCACGACAGACTGGCCGCCCATGGGTCCCCACGAGACCTATCGGATTGGAGACTACGTTCAAACAAGACAAGGCTGCTGCTTTCACACTCACCCGCCATCGAAACACTCAGATGGCTCCTGGATCGGTAAGCGCGTTAGCCCTCATGATGGCGAACCGATGGGATCCCTATTCGGACCCATCCGCGAGGTAGGTCAATTCATGGGATATATGACCGTGCAAATTGGAGACTACTGGATGAACGTTTGGGATGGTGCAAAAGGCATGAAGGCGGGCAACACTCTTGCTCGCGTCGTACCTTGCCCAGACTTTGACCCCAACTCGCTTCCAGATGACCTCCGCTTCGGCCCCCCAGTTAATTTCCCACCTCGTCATGCAATCATGATGCCGACCAGTGACATCAGGGCTGGGGAAGGTTCTCGTGCTCCACTACACCAGAGGCATACGGATGCCCCTAGTGCAGCGGGACACCGCAGCGCTTCCAGTCAACAGCCCCCAGAGCTTGAGGAAGTCCCTGACGCTCATGAGCCAGGCGAGTTGCTTAAATTGATCAGGAGCCCTCAGTCCTTGAGTGAGCCAGTTGACGATGCACCTCCAGCTCAGTCGTCGCCGACAGTCGTGCCAGAACCGACACCAATTGAAGTTGACCATCCGTCGCCGACTGTCTCCCCACGCTCGCCGACCGAGATCCCTGTACCAACAGAGTCTCCAGAAGGACATAATGATGGCGGCGTAGCTAGTGATGACTTCCTCAAGAAAGACGACTGGTCCCCAGAGATCGACGATGTTCGCAATGAGATTGCAACAATGGAGGATAACGAAGAGAAAACACTCAAATATGGACCAGATCAGACTGACTTCCCAGACTATTTCAAAGCAGTTAAGAAAGTCCACATTGTTCGTAGTACTGGACCTGACGGTATTGTTAACACAAAAGTCAAGCAAACCATGGAATACATCGTTATCCTGAACATGGACGATATTGCAAACACAAAAATGACTTTTGAGTTCAATTGCGATGCACCATGGTGCCACCGTTTTCCAGAGCAATGCGGACACAGAGCTTTTACCAAGTACCTTTTCCAGTGCATTGGTACTTTCCGATACAGAACACTGGCATACGGCAGACGATCATGGTGCGCCATGGCATACCTGAACCTCTATCAGCAGGCTGGAGAAAAATTCGCACTTCTCAGCATCGAGAATGCCGAGATCCTGCAGAACCATCCTGGCCTTGCTGCACTCCGCATGGGCACAGCGACCTATGTGGACGACAAGTTCGTGAATGAGGCGCCCCACGACGGAAGGATTTCCACATTGGCCACGAAGCAAGGGGAAACCCTAGCGTCGCGAGACGATGTGGAGACTACAAAGACCGTTATCGAATCTGCCGTTGGTTCACAGTCCTCACAACGCACACTCGCCACTCAAGTTCTCCAAAATGCATACCAGGCCATCGCCGCTTCCGCCGACATTCAGGGTGCAGCGGGAAACCGCAGCGACCTTGATGATATCTTGGACGAAGACGGCGAAAAGATCTTTGCCCCGCTTGAGCCTGATCATCTCGATCGGGCCCGCCAAATCGTCTCTGCTCCAGGTGGCAGTGTATCTCAGGAAAATTTTGCAACCCTGCTTGCAGGGGTTGTTCAATTCGACGAGAACACAGGACTGGCACCTCCAGAGCTACAAACTCGCATCCCTTCGTGCTCCATTTGCAACGCTCGGATGCCCGCCGATTTGGACACTCCTGGGGCCACTGTGAAATGTGCCTTCTGCATGAAATACGAGGACACAAAATGGCCAGACGAAGTCGCGGCCTGGCGAGAGCAGTTCGTTGCTTCTGTCGCTAATCAGCCAGATGATGTCGCCCAGCGCTTTACAGCTGCCCCTATCGATATGCGTGGCATGAAGAAGCCACAGACTGAGGCTAAGGATGATCTTCAAAATATGGGGAAGAAAGCTGACAAGCGGCATCAGAAGTGGCTTGCTTGGAACTCGCCTTCTCTAGAGGAATGCGAGAGGCTACGCGCTAAGGCCGATGAGGATGGCATCCTGCCTGAAAATCCGAACTATCCTCCGATGTATCATCCATACACATCACTTGCACAGCGATTCGTGGAGGATGATGATTTTCGTGAGCAGATGACGACTGCACGGATTCAGGCTGGCAGGGTCGCGTGGACCATAGAAATCGCCACCGAAGCTGATCGACTCTGGCAGGCCTCCAAAAAGAGGAAGGAGACAAGAGCACCGAACCTCGGAGCCGAGACTTTCCGTGAACGGTTTCAGCGTAACCACCTGACCGTGCACGTCCCGGGCGAATCTCTCCGCGGTGCCATCACCGCAGCAGAAATTCGTGCGCACCCACAGTCTTTGACAGGGACCCGGGATGAGATCCGCTCCGGTGTCAAGAGAGAGCGCGAAGAGTACTATTCCCAGCTTTTGGAGCATGCTAGTGCAGCGGGAAACCGCAGCCGCAATGATCCAGGAAGCAGTAGTGGGGGTAACATCATGGGGGGTGGGACCGATCCAACCATCCGACCACCACCATATTCCGATTATCGTATTTCTTCCGGCGCGTCTTCCAGCCATGGCCCGGCTCACCCGCCTGCTGCTGACAGACACGCGCCTGCGCGTCCCGAGGATGGACCACCATTGGCAAAGCGCCCCGCCATCTCACATGTGACCCATGGTTACAGTTCCGAGTATGGTGCCCACTATTATGATAGGCAAACTGCTCCATATGATCGCCAGTGGTATGACCACTGGGGCGAATTCATCTGGGTCAAAGCATGGGATCCTTTCGCCAATAGTGGATGGGGTGCTACTGCATGGAACAAGAAGTACACCTCGGGCAAATACACGGGCAGAATATGGCAGTGGGATCCTCCACGCTGATGCACCAGGAAACTGGTTGCCATGCCGCCCACAAGATTTTGAATGGCTTCCAACGTTATCTTATTGTTGACGTGCCTATTGATGACATATATTATTCTTTCGTTGATATCTGTATTTTGAGGACGTTTGCATTTACTTTCCAATTGGTATATCACTTCAAGGATTCTTCCCCTTCATGGACTCAATTACCGAATGTGAAAGATTATGATGCCAGGTATCCTCCATATGGGAGATCACTCCTCATATACATTTGTTGACACGTAGTATTCGAGGACGCTCGCACTTACCTTTTAATCAGTATATCACTTCAAGGATTCTTCCTCTTCAAGGACTCAACAACTGTGTGAAAGTTTATGGTGCCAGCTATCCTCATGATGGGATAATACTACTCATATAGATTCAAAAAAAAAAAATCGCACAGTGCACAAGTGCATAAACATCCTTTAGATTTGTACTGTGGCAAGACGTACAGATTGCATCTGGAACAGATTGGATCTGGAACTTGCATAAAAAGATTTTCACCACCCTCGTACCGTGATTGATTTGAATACTTTGGTTTGGTTTGGATCGAAGACTTCACATTCATGATTATCATGTGTTGCTTCGGGCACCGACCGTTTGGGTCGGTGTCATAAGAGTTCAGTCTCTCCATTCCACTTTTCTCCAGCCCACAGCACTGTCCTGGGTTCTGTCTCGGCGGCTGGCGCTGTAAAACTTTTTGCAGGTTAGCGCCGCCGTTGGGTACGAACCTTACGACAGAGCTTTGGCTGTCCCTTCCTTTCCTTCCTGGGCTGAAGCAGTGGATTGCAGACAGGAGTTCAGTAGAGATTCACTCTCCTATCCCGATCCCCGCTTCGGTGCCTTTCGCCTTTGTGCGTGGGCATCGGGCGGGATCGGGACGGGGGGTGTGTGTGAATCCCCCTACTTTCCTCCTATCTTGCTCATATCCATCGCCCCTCTTGGCTCGGATGACAGGTACTCGATAGTTAGAGGTACGTTGGGTAAAACCATCGTTCCTCATCGTCTACCGACGGACACTCGGGGGTGGGGTCGGTCCATTGGTCCTCCTCACCCTCACACAGGCGATGAGAGCCTTGCGGTAACGCTGCAGCGCGGAAGCGCGGAGACCTTCCGCCCCGCCTGCCTCGCCGCGCGCGGGGCGGCGCGCCGCGGGGCCCGCGGCGCCGAGCCGGCGGCCCGCCGCGCACGCGCGAACGGAGCGGGGCGCGCGCCTGGCTGAGCTGGGCGGCAATAGCCCCTGGGGCGCGCGCTGAGCAGCTGGCGGGCGTCGCCGCAGCTGGGGTTCCGGCTCCGCGCCGCGGGCGCCGGACACGCGCCGGAGGCGGCCGGGCGGCGGCGGCGGCGGCGCGTGCCGCGGATCGGAGGCGTGGCGCCCAGGCTGCGGAGCGGAACGTGCGTGCTGGAACCGCTGGCGATGCGGCGGGCACCGCGGCGTGCTGACACTGCGGGCGGGCGCGGCGCTGCGCTGCGCCGCTGGCTGCGAGGCGATCCGCGCTCGGGGCGCAGCCAGGGTCCGGCGGCACTGGGGCCAGAAGGCGGGCCGGCAGCAAGCTGACGGGCGGGCCCGCGCGGGGCACTTGGGGGTCGTCGCGGCCGGGTGCCCTGTCGTCCGGGTCGGCGCAAATGTGGCCCCGACGGGGTCCCCACCTCCATCTTCACCTGCGTTCCTCTTCCTCCTCCTCCTCCTCCATCTCCTTCTCCTCCTTCTCATCCTCCTCCTTTTCCCGCTCCTCCTTTTCTGCTTCTCTCTCGCTGTCCTCATCCCCCCTTTCCTCTTCCCGCCCCTGTTGCCGCTCCTCATCTTTCTAATTACTCCACCCACCCCTTCTCATTCTTCCCCCTCCTTCCTCCTTCTTCCTCCTCCTCCTCTTCTTCCCTTTCCTTTCCCTCCATCTCCTGTTGCCGCTCCTCTTCCTCCTCCTCCTCGTTCTCCTCCTCCTCCTCCTCCTCCTCCTCCTCCTCGTTCTCCTCTACCACCTCCTCTCAGCATTTCCGTTGTTCCATTATTTCACGCCGTCTTCCCCATCATGCCCCCCCGTGCCCTCCAG